GCTGGAGTGCAGTGGCACAATCTCAATTTACTGAAACCTCCACCTCCCAAGTTCAAGCAATTCTCTGCCTCAGCGTCCTGAGTAGTTGGGATTACAGGTACCGCCACACCCAGCTAATTTTTGTATTTTTAGTAGAGACGGGGTTTCACCATCTTGGCCAGGCTGGTCTTGAAGTCCTGACCTCATGATACACATGCCTTGGTCTTCCAAAGTGCTGGGATTACAGGCATGAGTCACTGTGCCCAGCCACACACACATTTTTATAGCAGCAGAATTCACAATTGCAAAATCGTGGAACCAACCCAAATGCCCATTAACCCACAAGTGGATAAAGAAACTGTGGTATATATATACAGTGGAATATTATACAGCCATAAAAAGAAATGAATTAACAGCATTTGCAGTGACCTGGATGAGATTGGAGACTATTATTCTAAGTGAAGTAACTCAGGAATGGAAACCCAAACGTTGTATGTTCTCACTGATATGTGGGAGCTAAGCTATGAGGACGCAAAGGCATAAGAATGATGCAATAGACTTTGGGGGCTTGGGGAGAGATGGGGAGGGGAGCAAGGGATAGAAGACTACAAATATGGTGCAGTGTGTTCTGCTTGGGTGATGGTGCACCAAAACCTCACAAATGGCTGCTAAAGAACTTACTCATGTAATGAAATACCACCTGTACCCCAATAACTTATGGAAAAATTTTAAAATAAAAAATAAACACATTTTCAAGAGTAAGGAGTTGCTGAGAGTTAGTTTATGCACCAGAGTCAATTTCTCTGCACCACTCCTCACATGCCTAGGAAATAAGCTTAGAACATACATTCCTCAGCTCCACCACGGCCTTTTGGAATTTCCCTTCCAGGTTCTGCTTTTTCTCCCGCAGTCTCTTCTGTGGCAAGCTTTCATTTAAGCTACAGCAAAACATTATCTTTCTAGAGATTATACAGGAAACCAGAGAAAAGTTCCAGTCTCCATAAAACAATCCAACCTTGCATAGAGCCACCTCCAGGAAAGATGGAAGAAATGCTCACCAATGGTGATAGTCTGATGATAAACCCGAAGACTTCTCCAAGCAGGAATGACTTGTAAGAAGCATTCCAAAAAGGCACTGTGCTCTAGTGGAAAACGTTTGGTTCTGGTTCAAAGAAACCCAGCACGTGCTACTTATTAGCTCTGTGACCTTGGGCAAGTTATTTGACCTCTCTGAGCTTCTATTTCATCATCTATAAAATGCTAATGGTATCCATAAACTGTAACAATATTTATTTATTTATTTATTTTCCAAACACAGTATCTTGCACAAAATTTAAGTTAATAAATATTTGTGGAAAGGAGGAAAGAAGAAAGGAAGAGGGAAGGGGGAAAAGACTTGAAAAAGATTCAAGTTTAACACAGTATAAATCCTGATAGAGTTTTTCCTCTTTTTCACTAATAAATTATCTGATTATAACACAGATCTATTGAGGAAACTGTTTGAATACCATGGACTATTAAGCACACAGATCCTGCAGATCAGAGCCCTCTGGTGGCCACTGCAGCTTTGCTACCTGTTAGGAAAATTATGCCCACCTTGTCTCTTACAGCTGCATGTCACCACCTGGTCCCTGTTGTCCTAGATCCCTATCACCTACGCTGACTCCAAGAAGCCCAGTTCCACAGCAGCTTCCCCGGGCATCAACCTCAGCCTAGAAAGGACAGTGACCAGCGAGCTTTTCTGAGATGCGCCCCTCACTAGTCATTCTTTGTTGCTTTAGTAAAAGAAGTGGCCACTAAACTCTCCAGACAAACACAGCCAACTGGCAAGTTCTCTGGTCTTGTGTAATAAATCCATCCTGCCAGGCCCACTTCTCTATGCCTTTTGTTCCTCAGTACTCTGCCATGACAGTTCCAGCATCTTCTTTTCATTAACACAAGCCACCATTTTCCCCACTCTTGAAGGACACATCCCAACAGCACACAGGGACCAGATCCAGGTGCCCTTAGGGATACATTAAATTCTGAGAATGCCCAGGTATGGATGAAATCTTCTTATCCAGTCTTATATTCTGCCACCCGATCCCCCATATCCCTGTCTGAAACCCTCAAGATCCATTGCTAAGCACACTCCACCAATTCCTCCTGGTTAACATTGTCAAATTCTGAAGCTCCTTCAGGAGAGATGCTTGTTCCTCCCACCACAGAGCAAGTTCTTCCCCAGCCAGATCAACCTGAGACTTGACCATAATTAACCATCCAGAATAATACGAGGTTGTGGGCAGTATTTGAGGAGGGCGAGTATCATCATGTAAAGCATCTTCCTCGGCATGGTCTCCAGCCAAGGGGAGTCTGCTCTCCACTAGCAAGGAGAAGCCGGGAGGTTCCTCTGCAGAGAAACCTCAAGTCCATCATCCACCTAACTGTTCCCATTCTAGGTCTCCATGTCCCACTTTTCCCCCCATTACGACCTTCACTTAAGTATAGAAGACTTGCCAGAGTGGTAAATTCAGCCCTTTTATTAATTCAGCTGCTCTCCCAATTAGATATTGTGCCAAATGTTCAGCACAGTCTGCCCTTCAGCTGCATTCAAAAACAGTCTCTTCAAATCAGCTTTCATACCATGCCCTGAGGGCTTTGATTCCACTTAATGACCAACCAATTCCCACAGGCCTTATAATTACCATTGTCTTCATCTCCCAAATGTTATTGTATTAGCCAGTGCATGCCTTCCCATGTGTATTCCATATTAATTCACTACAAGGCAGTCAGTACCGTCATGAACCGCACAATGTTTTGGTAAATGGCAGACCGCACATAGGATGGAGGTCCCAGAAGATTTTACTTTTTCTGTACTTGTTCTGTATTTAGATACACAAATACTTACCATTATTTTGCAGTTGCCTACAGCATTCAGATTTGTAGCCTAGGAGCCATAGGCTAGGCTATACTAGGCTATACCATCTAGGTTTGTGAAATTGCACTGTGATGTTCTTACAATGACAAAACGGCCTGATGATGTGTTTCTCAGAATGCATCCTCCTCATGAAGTGACCCATGACTGTAATTGTGGTGCTACAGCATGTCTTATCGCTCTCTCAGCAAACGTTACTGCCTCCTGCATTAAAGCTGAGCCTCCCAAAAGGCAGCTAAGCTGGAACTTATCCATTTGGCCCCTTAAATCCACTCTTACCTTTCTTTACTTTGATGCCTAGGAGGCCAACATTTATGGACTGAATCAATGGGTTTTCTCAATTTCTGTTTTCCCATTTGATTCCCATGTGGGTTTTTTCCTTTTTTTTTTTTTTTTTCTTTTTTTTTAGAGATGGGGTCTTGCTCTGTCATTCAGGCTGGAGTGCAGAGGCACAGTCACAGCTCACTTGCAGTCTTGACCTCCCAGTCTCAAGTGATCCTCACATCTCAGCTCTGCAAGTAGTTGGGACTACAGGTGCACACCACCACACCTGGCTAATCATTTTATTTTTTGAAGAGACAGGGTCTTACCATGTTGCCCAAGCTAGTCTCAAACTCCTGGCCTCAAGTAGTTCTTCCACCTCAGCCTCCGGAAGTGCTGGGATTATGGGCATGAGTCACTACACCCAGCTTGATTCCCATTTCATCCAACAGACCAGTGGATGGAAGGAGAGTGAGGATGGGTATCTGCTCCCCTACCTCCCTCCCTACCAGGTCTCAGTTTGGGAAGGGCTGCATCTTCCTACCAAAGGCCGCAGCTCCTGTCAAGGATCTCACTCCTACACTTCTCTCTGGGGTCTGACAATCACTCCCTCCCCTTGTTCCTTCAGCCTGGGGTTGTCCTTTGCTGCTGAACCAGATCTGTTTCACCCCCTTGTTGGTTTCCTTAATTCTACTCACACATTTATAAATCATCTCTTCAGCATCCCACAACAACAGATCACCAGTTTCCTTATTCATGCTGTGGTCATCTTTTCTCAAATCCTGCCAAGCCCTTTGTGCCTCAGAAAATTCTGAGGAAAGTCTTCAGGGATCGGTTGAAAACGCTTGAGTGGCAGCACCCAGGATTCATCCCTAATTATCACCCCCTGGTCCAGCAGAGACCCCAAGTACTTGCCTTCTTTTTATGTTAGAGTGACTTCCGTTCCTACCAACACATCTGCTAAAGATTGGGTGGATTTTGCTCCTGCCCTTTGTGCCCAGATGTTCACCCCACATCCCAGTACTTGACTGTCAATCTCAACATTTGCTTTACTGTGTTTTAGGGGGATTCATTGAATCCTTATTCAAGGAAAACTCCTGGCCCCCAGCCGTGGTATCAGTGGGTATGTCTGTGCAGTTTGTGCCATCTTTGGGACTCATGCTACCCAAGGTCCCTTACTAAACATAACATGCCAAATTCATGATTAAGTAAAAATAATCATGTCGTTTAGTTGAGGTGTGCTTCTCACTGTTATTCCAAGTGTACTAAAAATTAAAAAGACTTTCTTGAAAGTTTTCATGAATTCAAAAGACAGAGGACACACTTTATTGGCATCAATATAGGTATTCTTGGCACATTATGAAAAAGGAACAAGGTTAAATTCAACCCCAAAAATGTCAGAATTAAAGACATTTGCATAACATTAGAGTTTTGGGTTTTTTTTTTTTCAATCACAGAATTAGCTAATTAGAGAGGGCAAGAGCTAGAAAATCACAGACTTTTTCCTCTGAGCCAGCGATGCAGTTTTATCCCTAAACACATGTAAAATTTCTGAGCTTAACACGTTATACTTTAAGTTTAAAATATGATAAATGGGGAGGAATACTCGTGCATGACCTTTTTTCCATAGCTTTGGGAGAGCATCACACTCTAAAACATGAGTTTACTTTCATAAATTTTTAAGGCTAAATGATAGCTACCAGCTACATATTTTATTTCTGAGTTTGTTTTTTAATCACAACATAGCCTCTTTATTAAGGATCTTAAGGGATTTTAGGGAATTTTGCTAGGAAAAAGAGTTATCCAAATCCAAACATCTTTTCATTGAAGCTACTCTCTTTTTTTTTTTAATCTGAGCACTCTCTGTTTCTTATGTAGTTAATTGCTCAGTTAAAAGGGGTAAGGGAGCATTTTCCCTAAAGAAGCTTGCCGTTGGAATTCCTCTGGGGTAAGGAAGACTAGTGCATGGATTTTGTTCATTTCTAGCCCTTTAATCATAAATCCAGTTGGAGTCAGTGGTTAAATAGAACATGAGAATTTAAAGACTTTCACTTTCCAGCCCCATTTCCTAATTACACCCAGTATGTTTAAATCATTAGCATATTATGAGTCCAAATTGGGCAAGGATTGTGATACACAAATTATATTCCAAGACTCAAGGCAAAGAAAAATTAATTTGCAGGCATATTAACTGGAGAAATTATTTTGGTGAAGACACAAATATTGTTTTGCACTTTTAGCATAAGTAGGCTGCATTTGGGCCTTTTGCCTGAGCTGGATCTAAGGGGTGACAGGTAACCTCCTCCATGGGTGTGGTCGAAATTAAACAGCCTTGCATCCAGGAAGTATAACTGCTTGTGCTGCTCACACAGGTGGGTCTGTGAGGCTCAGGCCACTGGCTGGGCTCCGCAGACCATGCCGGCCTCAGATGGTCTCACACTCCGTGGTGGCAGTGGAGCAGGCTCCGCAGTCACAGCGGACGGCCACAGGATAGGTGTAGAAGGGATCGACTCCCGGGGCACAATTGGGCAGCTTGACGGTCACCTGTTTGGTCTCGTTGTAGGTACAGACTCGATGATGGGCTTCAATGTAGGGGGGTTCCAGAATGGGTTTCTGTCCCCACAGATAGAAAACAGGGAATTCATTAGAACATATGATCCTGTTTCAATGTTTTAGTATCATTTATCACTCTCAGAAATTAACTTGTTATTCATTGGCTTACTTATTACTCTGTCATCTGCCAGTAGAAAACAAACTCCTGAAAGCAAGAAGCTGATTTCATTCAAGACCATGTCCTAAGCTCCCAGGAAAGACCATGGCACACAGCAAGTGCTCCATACATAGTCGGCAAATGAATCATCTTGGTCACTGCAAATGCCTTCTAACTGGCCTCCCCTCCCCTCTTCCTTTATTACTCCCCACAATCTATTTGCACACAGTGGCCCTGAGTGAACCTTTTTAAACATAAGTCACATCAAGTTACTCTACTGCCCAAAGCCCCAGTGATTTCCCATTTCGCACAGAGCAAAAATCAAAGATCTTACGATCACCTTCAAGACGTCCATCGCCTTCTCTGCACCTCTACCTTCTGAAATGCCTGCAACCATCCCCACCTCACGGACTTCCTCACTAGGCTCAAAGGGGTCTCATTGCTCCTCAGACCCACCAGGAACAGTCCCAGCTCAGGGCCTTCGAATTTACTGTTCCTTCTGCCTGGAACATTCTTCTCCTGTATGATTCACTCCTTCACCAATCTTTGGTTTTTGTTAGAATGTCACCTTCTCAGGGAAGCATTTTCTGACCATCCTATTTAAAATTGCAACATTCCATCTCTATGCCCAGAAACTTCCCATCCCCTACCCTGCTTTACTTTTCACCATAACACTGGTCAATAGCACATGGCATAATCTATCTTTCATTCATTCATGTGATATTCCTCCCGCTCCAGAAAATAAGCCCTTTTAGGAGAGAGATGTTTGCCTGCTATGCTTCCAGTACCTAAAACAGACCCTGGGAGGGTTTCAATAACTATTTGTCACTGAACCAATAAAAGAAAACATTACAAGAGAGGTTCCTGAATACTCTGTGCACTGTTCTGATCATTGAAAGATTCATTTCCTTCCTTAGCCTTTTATAAATCTTAGGTTCAAAGATAATTTTGATAAACAGAACACAAAGATCAGAAACAAAATCAGCACAAAGCAGGAGTTAAAATTTCAAGCCCTGAAGTCAGAACTATGGAGCTTGAGTCCCTGTTCTGCCACTTGCTGGAGACCTTGGAAAATCCACTTAACTTCCTGAAGACTCAGTTTCCTCCTCTGTAAAACAAATTATCTACCTCCCACCATTGTTTGGGAGATAAGGTAAGACGATATACTCAATGCACAAAGCCTAGCACAAAGTAAGTGTTCAATAAATGTAATCCATTGTTCTTATTAAAGCAATCACTATGTGGAAATAATAATGAAAATAATAACAAGCTTTCAAATGACAGTACCTTTGCTTTTTTGTTCTTCGTTCTAGGCAAAAAAGAACATATATACATATGTAGCTCAAGTGAAGCTTTCATGAATGTCATGAAAATAGGAGCCTTGCCTTTTTTTTTTTTTGAGATGGAGTCTCACTCTGTTGCCCAGGCTGGAGTGCAGTGGTGTGATCTCAGCTCACCGCAACCACTGCCTCCTGGATTCAAGAGATGCTCCTGCCTCAGCCTCCAAGTAGCTGGGTCTACAGGCACACGCTGCCATGCCCAGCTAATCTTTGTATTTTTAGTGCAGATGGGGTTTCACTATATTGGCCAGGTTGTTCTCAAACTCCTGTCCTCATGATCCACCTGCCTCGGCCTCCCAAAGTGCTAGGATTATAGGCGTGAGCCACTGTGCCCAGCCAGCCTTGCCTTTGATAAGGACCAGAAGAGCTGAATTTGTCCTCAGCTGTTTTCTCCTACCTTGCCATGTTTGCTTTATGTCCTCTTACCATTAGTACTCTGGGAACCTAGGCAGACCAGACACCCCATAAAATTTAAATTTCAGATACATAATTTTTTAGTATAAGTCTGTCCCAAATACTATATGAGACATACAGGCTTATGCTAAAAACTTATTTATTGTTTTTCTGAAATTCAGATTTACCTGGTCTTCCTGGTTTTCTGGTTTTGTTTCAGTTTGGGTTTTGTGGGGAGGGGATTGGTTGTTTTGTTTTATTTTGTTTGTTCACTAAATCTGGCAACTCTATACCCAGATTATGAGGAATAGTTATTTTCAACAAACGTTCCACCTTCCAAGTATATCCAGCCAGTCTGTCGTCATGAACATACTTATTTTCAAACATGCTTTCAGTTAAGTTCCCCCTACCCCACAAGAAAATCAAGTGCTGGGGAAATGAACCTCATTGTTTTATTTGCTTTCTATAGGTAACCTCCCTTTTCATAACACAGTCAAGACATGAATGAAAGTGGCTAAGATTAGGGAGAATCTTGTTCTTTAATGGTTTGGGTGCTTCTATCTTTCCAGTGAGAGCACAGTTCCTGACCTCCTATGGGTGACCATGCTCTGATTAAAGACATTCATCAGATTTTAAAAAGAAGAGAAGATGGACTGAATTGAGGGGAAGCAGGATTTTGAGGATTTGGCACAGAGATGGCTTCAAATAGTTCAGATACTCGATGCAAACAGGGAGAGGCCCTGCCAGGCCAATCCCTGAACAGGAGGAGGCCCCAAGTGCCCCAAGTAAGTTTGCTGCCAACTGATAGGCAAAGTCTATTTAGCAAAACCCGATTTTCATGTGGCTGGTAAGGCTCAAGCCCCTGAATGAGGTGAAAAGAAAACTACTTTGATGGAACAGTTTCATTCAATTTGGAGATTTCATCTCTTTAACCCAATTCCATTCATAGGGCCTAATTGTACTTAAGCAAGAGCAAGTTACCCTCTGGGTCCCTGAAGGGAAAGCTATTTTTCCTAATGGCAGTGTCCTCACAGAGCACGTGTGCTTCTAAGTGGCCTTCCATTCAGCTAGAGGATCTACAGCTCCAGGGAGAGGTCCATCCTATTCAACCAACACATATGATTTGAATGCTTTATTCATACACAACACTTTGACAAAAACTGTGAGGGTTATAAGAATGAACCTCTGTCCTCAAAAACTTTAAAACATGTGTGTGGTAGGGGAGGAAGTAAGACCAAAAAATAGACATAGTCAAGGGCAAGTCAAAAAAGACCCAGAGTCAAAAAAGGCCCAGAAAGGAAGCTGGTGCTGCAGATGGCCATCAGGAATAAATACGGCAATGGCAGATGGGACGTCGAAGGGATATGAGGAAAGGACCAAAATGAGATCCATGAGGGCTATTGGATAAAACCTTTGAAAGTCACTTACCAAGGCCAGAGCTAAGAAAATGTGTTGTCCCCGGGAAAGCAGGCGGACACCTTATTGCTGAGGACTTTGAAAGTTGGTTATTAAATCTGCAGTGGTGTGTGGACATTCAAGGTTTTTAGGCCAGTAAGTGACAAGATCAGAGCTAGCATTTCATCAGGTACCAAGTGGGTGGGCCTCAGGGGGAAGAGCCAACAGTCACTACGTGATGTGACTTGCTGGGGTGCTGAACAGCTCTCTTCCTCTCCACCACTCACATAGCTTCTCTTAGCCCAATAGGATTTTAACTTTGTTGAGACTGGTAGCCCCACTTTAAATTAAATGTCTCTAAAAAGACTAGGTATAATTGAATATAAAGGAACTTAATGGATCATTCAGCGATAACCCCAGAGGGCCCCCAGGGACTTGAGGGGGAACAGGCTGCAGAAGAGTCAGTGAAGGGGTCTAGAACCAACTCTTACCCTTCAGCTCAGGGCCTCTTTCTTGGAAACTGGCTGATTTATCCAAAATGAGAGAATATAGGGAAGAGTTTAGGTCACAAGCTTGAACCACAGTTTGATGCCCGGCTTTACACTGACACTCTATGTGACTTTGCAGCCACTCTCCCTCGAATCCCTCCATCTCATCTGTAAAATGGATAGAATAGTACATCTTGACCTCCCAGAGATGATTCCCAAATACACAGACACTATGGAAACCAGATTCTATCAATGCTTTGTTAGAGGGGCAACATCATGTTTTTCAAATCACTTTTAGAAGATGCCAATCATAGTTTTGTTTTGGTTTTGTATATCCACAGGAAAGGGCAGATGTCCCAGATCTACCTCATATCATTTAAAAAGTGAACTCTTAAGAATCAGACCCAAGCTATTGGCCCAGAAGACACTGTCATCTACACATCTTAGCAACTCACCTCCCAGGTCTCACAGCGACCCCAGCAGGCATCCGTGGTGATCCGAAGGCCCTTGCAGCCTGGCTTCTTGGCCAGGAAAGTGAACTCCCTCACGGCACAGCCCACAAAGGTGTGCAGGTTCCCACTGGAGGCGCCAAGGACACAGCCACAGCCAGCCAGAAGGAGGAGGGCCATGGGGCCAAGGAAGAGGATTGCCAGCTTCATGCCGCTCTTCCAAAGAGGGAAAGGAGAGAGTTTAACAGATCCAGCGGCCCTCAGTGGGGCAGCCAACCATGCATTGATCACTATCAAAGGGACCTTGCTCCTAGCATTTCAGGGAAAATGAGCCCAGAAATTGTAAATGCCCACAAACTGCAACACAGGCATCCAGAGATGTAACTAGTGCCAGTGTGGATTCCATAGCCCTCTCTAGATGCCCACCCTCTGAGTGCATTCTCAGGCTTTTCCTTATTGTAACTTAACTGCTGCAGTTGACTTGTGTGTTTCCAAACGGTCTTTCCAAAATAAACATAAAATAGGAGTAAAACCAAAAGTAATCCATAACCCAATAGAATACACAAATACATATAAATTATTTGTATTCAGGTCCAGGGTATTTGGGTGCCGTGTTACACACTTTGCTGGAAACTATATTTTCAGCATCATGATGGGGAATGATTTGGGGGAGTCATTGATAAGTATTAATAATAGTACTCCCTATATGCATTGCTACTAAACCAACTCACCACGAAACAAGGATATGCAGAAGATATGAAACCTATCACCTAAGGTGGTGGCCATTTATAAATGTATCCTACTCACTATAAATTGCTTCTGCTCTAGGCTTCTATTTGTATTACCTACTTATAATTCAATTTAAATCCAAATGATGGAAAGCATAGGAGTTATTTAACACATAACCTCAACCCACTGTCAAGTTTAACCTCTCTGGGTCTTGGTCATTCCCTGTGCTCTTTCAGAAGCCAAAATCACCCCCCTTCATACTTAACCCAGTAGACAAAACTCACCTGGATTTTGAAGTATAAAGGATATGGCATTCATGGACCCCGACCCCCCACTGAACTCATTATTCTCACAGTTCCTACTTCTGACCTTGTAGCAAGTTCTCTGGGCTTCCCCTCCTCTGGAATGAGGTTGCAGATACAGAGAAGCACTTACCTAATCTTGCAGGAGCCAACTCTTCTTTTAGAGCTGAAACTTGCACTAAGATTTCAGAAAGTCCCAATGAATGGTAGAGGTTTGCTCTGAGTAAATGTCTCTACCTTCAGTTACTGGGCTGCTTGATTGCTCAAATATATAGGAAAGTCTTGTCAATCAAAACAAAAGAGAGGCAGATCCTTACAGGAACTACTAAACACATCAAAGCCACGGAATATAAAGCCAGTCTCTATTTTCCAAAACTGATTAACTTAGAGGGTGTTGTTTTGTTTCTCAACATCACCTACTGAAACAGAAAGTTACCTTGGTGGGTGGCATAATCCTAGGGAAACAGAGGTAGTTCCACCTGGTTCTCAGGAGAACAAATGCACTGGGGCAGATGGATTAAATTTTCCTTCATGGTAACCATGACTTTCTTTTGAAACAGGGGTAAGTGACTAGCAGCTCATGGCAAACTCTTTCCTTTAACCCACAACATGTTTTAATACACTGAAAAATAACAGAACCATCATTCTTGCTGGAAAGAATGCAGAATCACTAACTGAAAAATGGAAATCACCGTGAGAAGAAACATGTTGAAAGTCTTAAAATTAGCTAAGAATTAGATGATATTAGTAACACCTTAAAATGAATCATTTGGGAAAAAATACCAAGATATTCCAAGTGATTATCTTCCAGCATGGAAATTAAAGAAAACTTTTCATTTCTTTTATATGGTTTTCAGCATTTTTCACATTTTCTACATTGGGCAGGCTTTTGTAATAGAGAGTCGGTCAATATCAATATGTTTAAAGTAAACCAATAGGTATGCATTTGTATTGAGTGGAAAGACATTCAGGGCTGCTCTGATAGAGATGTTTCATCAGATTTTTGGTCTTAAATTATTAAAATTAGAACAAAGGCTGGGCGTGATGCAATCATACCTGTAATCCCACCACTCTGGGAGGCCAAGGCGGGTGGATTACCTGAGGTCAGGAGTTTGAGACCAGCCTGACCAACATGGAGAAACCCCATCTCTACTAAAAACACAAAATTAGCTGAGCATGGGGGCACGCACCTGTAATCTCAGCTACTCAGGAGGCTGAGGAAGGAGAATTGCTTGAACCCAGGAGGTGGAGGTTATGGTGAGCCAAGACTGTACCATTGCACTCCAGCCTGGGCAAGAAGAGCAAAACGCCCTCTCAAATAATAATAATAATAATAAATAAATAACAAAATATTTTTATGAGTATGGGATATAGTTTATATTTCAATCTACAATAACAGTATATGAGTGGATTAAAAATGTACTTGTTCATGGCATTTTTCTGAGTGCTCTAAAAATTAAATGAAGCAGACATCATCTTTGCCCTTAGGACTTTTGATATCACAGTAAATAATGACATAGGCAGAGATATTTAAGATGCACACTAACTAGTGAAACTATATAAAGAAGTTAAACCATTTCCATTTCCTGCAAAGAAAGGTATTCTTTAAATAAATGCACTGCTCATTATAGATTTCATTTTCAAAACAGATAACAATGCCCAGTGAGTCCATCAATTTACCATGCCTCTCTTTAGAACAGAATTATACATGTTTTATAGAAAATTGAACTAGGCTTGGAATAAAGGACTTTCTTCAGCCCTTCAGACTGTGAGAGGCATAACCACAACTGGAGTGTTCTGGGGTTGGATGCTCAATGAGCATGATCTTCCTAACTTGCTGGCCAAGAGCTGGCCAGTCGTGGTGAGCTGCCATCCTGAGCTGTTTCTGAAGACGGCTGCTCAACCCTTTTAGACCTGAAACACATACTTGTGTCTGCAGTGTCACAAAATAAAGACAGACTACAAAGGCCAAGAGCAGATTTCTTTCACAATCTCCAACTTCTTTATAATGCAGAGCTCTGGCATCATGCATTCTACCCCGTCAGCATTAACTTTGTAAGAATGACAATCCATAATCACGAAGCATCTTCTGTGTACCAGGTACCATGAAATCTGCTGTGCTCTTACATATGTTATCTCTAGACCTCACAACAATTCTTTAAGTCAGTTATTCTTTTCTCCATTTTACACTGGAAGAAATAGAAACTCAATTGTTTTGTAACCTGTCTACTTCCAAACCTTTCAACAACACCGGGAATGGCAAATGTGTCAAATTTCATCGCTGTAACCAACTACCTTTAATGGGAAGTGGCTACCAGGAATGTTGTTTTAGAGAAGGCAGCTGAAATTATTCTAAGGACAGAGGGCAGTGGCCCATCAGCTTCATCCTGGGTGTCGGAAAGGAGAATGGTGTATGGATGCCACCTTTTGCAATCTAGACCGTGTCGCACCTCGCTATGGGCAGAGTGAGAGGTTGTAGTGTGACTTCAAAGGCTAATTAATGCCCTGCTACCTAGGAAATAACTCTGCACCACAGACCATGCATGTGCCTGCTACCTTCCCTTCAATCTACATGGAAGTTCCCACGATGAAAGTCACTCTCTTGAGGTAGCAAACAAACATATGAGTGATGTCCCCAAGGAGAGGCTCTGGAGAATCTTCTCTCCTTTTATTCCATGATCATCTTCACATGTCACCTTGGTGGATGAGGCACAAGCTATAGGTTCACTAGGGGTAAAAAGAAAGGAGAAGTGGTGAACGTGAGCAATCATCTTGAGTTCTTGGAGGAGCGTGAGTCCAGAGGAATGAGCCAAGTGTTAGTGCCTCAAATGGGTGATTGAGAAACTGAGGCCTGCCCCAGGGAAGGCAGCCCCAGGTGGGGAAATCCTGGGGTGCACACAGTGTGCAGGAGATGGAGACACTGACAGAGCCTGGAAACACGCCCTTCCCTCCCACAGCCATGTTGATTCTCAGTGGCACAATCTCCTTTGGGACTACCTTGAGCAAGTCACTTCTCTGAGCCTCAGTTTCTTCACCTGCAACACAGTGGGGTTGGACCCTGCGACTCCTAAGGCCCTCCCCAGCTCCAGAATTTAAAGATTTAAACTATTTTCTGAGGACAAGAAGCTGAGGACAAGTCAGAGGGAGAGAGCAGACGGTTACACAACCATAAAGTTGGCCATGTTGGTGCTGAAATCTTGATGCTGACACTCATCTGCTTATGATCTTGGACAAGTCTAGTAACCTACCTGGATCTCAGCTTCCTACAAAATTGAAAATGCCTCCATCTTAGGGGTCATGTGAGGATACTACAAAATAATGTCTATAAATTACTTATTACAGGGCCTGATACAATGATAAGCAGGCAATACTTGTTTTCTCTTTCCTTCCCTGGAAATGCATCATTTCATGTGTACCCCAGAGAAATAAAAAGGTACCAATAAAACATTAAATCACACCAGCAATTATTAGACATATCCTGATTTCAAAAATATTAGATATGAAAAAACAAAATTTGAATCTGAGAAGAGAAGCAGCCAAGTCTTTGGGGACTACGGGACCTCACCAGCCTTATCAAACCAGGACATGGATAAGCACCAACCTTACTTTCCCAACCAACACCAGGTGCTTTAATCTGACACTAAAATTAACAACATGTTTTCAGATCTTAATTTTTAGGCTTCATTTTTAAAAGTCCAAATCTCACATTTTGAGGGTAGAAGCTTTATCACAGTTGTAAATTTCAATATACTAATAAATCTTCATAAACACTCAATTTCAGTTCTGACCAAATATGGAGTCAAACCAACTAAGCCAACCAGTGTTCACCGAGCACCCACTGTCTTGCCCAGGTATGAAGTGAGAGCCCAAAGGAGCTAATCTGTTGGCTGTATCACTTTACATGACTCCTAAGAGTTTAGAAAAGATGTACAAGCTCTAATATGTTTTTCACCACGGGATCCTCAAAATACACAAAGCTCTGCCAAGGGTCAAATTAATTAGCATTATGCTTCCCATGGGTGAAAAAAAAAAGCCTCAAATGAAGCTATGAGTTTCAAGGAACTAATAGAATTAATGGTAAAAGAAAGGTCAGCCTTGAATCTTATAAAGTGGTATGTTGCTTTTAATACTGCTTATTTTCCACAGGGGAGCGGGGAGGAAATCTGGGCATACAAATGAAGATGAATAGTGAAGACTTGGAAGAAATACATTTTGTTGAAAAGTCATCTCTTCCTTTCAAAGCACTGAGTATTTGTGGGTCAGCTCCTCATGTTATTGACTTAAAGAGATAACATTTGCCCGAGATGATGGTGCAGTTGCTATGGTAACATTTTTTTTTAACGAGACCAAAAATAATGACTCCTGTGTCTGATTTACTAGGACAAGTCAAGCCTTTCTCCATAACTGTCTGAAAGAAGTATCTGCCAGTTGCCACAGATTTATTTCAAATTAAGGGGCACATGGTTTAGGCGCTGAAGTGAAATGTTTTTACTTCCGCCTGACTCTTCCACTTTTGAATGTCATAGCTTTACAGGGCATGGCAGACACATGCCTAATAGAGAGGAACAGAGCAGAGTTGAATGAGTCACAAAGAAACATTCTTTATTTCAAGTGCATCCTGTATTCTCATTGGA